CAGCAGCATGAAATATTTTTAAAAACATATCATTAATGTTATCTTTCCCAAAATACATTGATGTTTATTGCAAAATGCTGATGTCAYAGGCCCTTTAATGTCTGTGCATTCAGTTTAACAGGTGAGTTGAATTGTTTTTATATTTGTCCTGTCAGCTGATCGTTCAGGCATGCGATTTAATGTTGAGTGAAAAAAAGAAAAGTCCTGGTTCCACTGGGGCTCGAACCCAGGACCTTCTGCGTGTAAAGCAGACGTGATGACCGCTACACTATGGAACCAACTACTGCCWTTAACCCGGCAGGTTTCGGAAAAAAGGCGGCGACAGTGAAGCAGCGGCCGGCCTGTGTGGGAGGCTCTTGGTGGCCGTCTGGAGACAATAAGGGGACCGGCAGGGGCCGACAGTCCGGTGACATACCCGTGGTTCCCGTGGACGCCCTCCGCTCTCCGTCCTCGTCTCCGCAGCGCAGCGATCCTCCGGTGAAACCTCCCCTCCCCGGGACGCGTCGACCCAGCGCAGCCGCCGTTCAGGTGAGGCGAGTCCCGCTCGGAGGGTTAGCTTTTTGTGACCGATCCAACACGATGGAGGAACTGAAGAAAAAAAAAAAAAAGCGTCGAGTTGCACGAACCGCCGTCATTTTTGTCCCGATCCTCTCTCCTCATGGGAGGCAGGATTATCGTCTGGACTCAGCTGATTTCGCTGTTTTGGGCTAACTTGTGATTTTTATTTATAAAAACAGATTTTCAGACGCATTTCATCATCTAACAAGACCATGCAGTGAGTCAAAAATAAAACTTTATCATCAAAAGGTGACTCAGTAAAGTTGACAATGATCAGATTTTACAGAGAAATAATGTAATTGAAGGAGCTTAGCAACAAAAATAATAGTGCAGACTGCTATTTGTTTATGTTTGAGGTTTCCTTCAGATGAAGCTTTAAACATTACACATCATTGTGTGACATTTAAAGACAAAACACTAAGTAGTGTTTGGACTGAGCTTACCAGTCAAAGAAACTCATAAAATATAAAATCACATGAAAATGTTTTCAGCTGGTGCAGTTTGAACAGTAGATTAACTTTATAAAGAACGTGGGTCTGCACTCAGTGTAAACTAAAATTTAGCTGAATTTGCTCACTGTCTCAGCTGCTGTGGGATCTGGGTTCTGTGATTGGCTGGTTTTACTTCAAAGTGACTCCTTCTCATGCAACTCCTTGATGTGCGTTTTCATTTAGACTTTTCCATCTTCTTGGACAAACTTGTGGTTCTGATGACTCACCTCACTTTTTACTTCTTGCTCCCATCTGACTCTTTATTCCTGGAAATACCTCAAACATCATTATCATCTGAAAGTAATCTGGAGAATTACCACAACAACATGTCAGCTGTCAGTGCAAGGTGTCTGTCCTATCAGGTCATTTTGGCTTCTGTATTTTCTTTTACCCTCCTTTTGAAATTTGTCGTTCTACAACCAAAAGAAGATGAGTGCAGTTTTATTTGTGCTGATAGAAAAACTGAAACATTTAGAAGCGGCGTCTCAGTCGGTCTTCAGGCATCACTGCCAGTTTCCTTTAGTCCGTTTTGTCAGTAAAATATAAGATCTGTGGATTGTTTACAGTGACCATTTTCAGTCCAGCGTCTGGTCATATTTTAAAATAAATTCATGTTTTTTTTATGACTGAGTCAGTGCAGCGGGTCAGCAGCCTCCATCTCATCCCAGCAGCCTCCTCTGTCACACCAACCCTCCTCACTGCATCCATGAACGTATTCTGTCCGATACCTCTCCTCTGCACACGTTCAGACCATTTCAGGCCGGCCTCTCTTTGCCTCCAAGCTGCTCAACCTGAGCTGTTCTCTGTTTGCTTCCTTCTTCAYGTTCTTATGTTCTGCCTTTTGTTTAAAATGATGATCCCAGGTCTGCGTTCAGTATCTGTACATCCACCTGTTCCTCACTCTCACCACAGATCATCTGACCTCATCCGTCAAACATCCCATCGACGGAGCTCTTCCTGCTGCTCACTGTGCTTCTTCACTTGGCTTCARAAACTTTTTCCATACCTTCATGGCTCAGCAGCTTCATCAAGGTGTTGAATATAGATTTCCTTTTACCATAAATTATCATAATAATCTACTTTTTGTCACATTTCTGTGACATGTCGTTAAGAGAACAAGTGTTGTTATATTAAAATGACACATTTGTCCACAGGTTTACTTTATAAATTCAAATCATCAGCTAATAATCCACACCGACTAGCTTTCATGTGTGCAGCAGATGTCAGATTCTGTATTTTAGTCACGGTGGATGGAGAAAAGCCTGGATGGATGGTGAGCTGTTGGAGGCATAGATTTCCATGCTGCTTGTGCATATGCTGCATCTTTTTTTTTTTAGATTAGTTTATTTTACCAGTTGGCATTCCTAAGAGATACAGACGACAGGAGAAGAAACATCTGGGAATCAAACAGTCATGTTTATTTTGCTCGTCATATGTTCTGACGTGATGCAGATTTTCAAATTCTGCAGATGTTTCAGAACGTCAGAGGAAACGCAGAGACACGTCCGCGACATCTARTTTCTGCTCAAATAGGCCCGTTAGGGAAACGGACACACAACAACACAGAAAACGTAGAAAAGAATGTATTCGTGAATGAATGCATATTGCCCCACCGCCTGTCATGCCAGCATTTTGATCAGAGATCCTCTGAGGAACGATTTGGTCAAAACTTAAAAGTAAATTTATTTGACACGATATGGTGAGGATGACTCTCAGCTACTACCACACTCAGTTTTAGCTGAATAACTGTAAAACTTTCTGCGTTAAAGATGTTCTTAATGTCTAACAGCTGKAGCAGTTATCTTGAATTGACTCCAGTGTACATAAAATAAGTTTCATTGAAGATTTGTCCAATGGTTCATGAAATATTTTGCTAACAGAGAAAACTTGACTCCAGTGCTGAGGTTTTAAGCAAACATCTGGTGATACAAGTCTTTAGAGTCTGTGTTGTGTATGACTGTCAGCGACTACCACGTCTACACATTATCTGTAAATTTGACTAAAGTTTTAACAATGTTTGTGTTTTTAAGGTCACTTGGCAGCCATCTTGAATTGGGTTGACTCCAAATATTAATGACTTGTAGACGTAGATTTAATAATTGTTTTCTAAAATGTCCACTAAAATCTGTCCAGTGGTTCACRAGACATGTTTCTAACAGACAGAGTCATGAAATAAACAGAYATTTTCTGCAGTCTCTTCTTAGATTTCTCAGAGTTTATGTTGGGAATCATTCTCAGCTACACTTAAYTTGGTTGGGGGATTAATTAAATTAAAAATTTAGTTAGAATCCACACTTTGTTACCATTTACTAAACTGTCAGATACTAAATTTCACCAGACTTAAATGCAATGAAAATATACAAATATGATTGATTAAGAATTACAAAACATTTGTTAGTGGCTGAAAMTCTTAAAGTTTTGCCCAACCCAGTATGAACTTCTGAAACTTGTAGGGGTTACATTCTTAAAGAACTCGAAAATCATAAAAAATAAAACAAAATAAAATGAAATAAAACGTAAATACTGGACGTGGTAAAATAAATAAAAAGGCCTATAAATTTTGATTTTTAAAACTTAAACCCTAAATATACTCCTGCTACATAAAATAAACTGTATGAATTAAATTTATTTTAATAAAAAATACAGTAAAATGTATGGGTGCTTACCAAAAGATATCGACTTTTCAAATATTTTTGGTTTCCTGGCCATAAACTAAAGTATTTTCTAAAGACTAAGTCTGCAAGTTGTGAATTATGACTTTATGGAGGTCATTGTAAAATGTTTGCAGGCCAACATGACACCGTTCCAAAACTTGATTATGGCAAATAAGCAGAGTTGTTTTAATTTKAATTCTTATGTTTCTATCAGTATTTCTATGAATGGTTGTTTGGGGGTTAACGTAGCTCATTAGAAAACAACAAATATTACTTGTCTTTGTTTACAGCTAAATTCAGCGACCATGTTGAATCAGAATTTTTCATCCTCAGCTTTTTTAAAAGCTCTTCATCGCTCAGTTTCCTTCTCAGAAATGACTTCTGTCAGCTCTCATCCTCAAAGCTTCAACGTTTCCTGTCACCAGTCGTGGCGCAACACAGTGAGAAAAGCCCCAAAGCAAGAAGAGAAATTTGCAACCTGTTCATGACCCTCCAGTTCACGGTTGGCACTGGTTTCCTCTCTTCAKAGAGGAGATGGGTTAAGTCAACCTGGCGTCTTTAATTCTGTCATTCTCCCTTTAAATCTGTCAACGTCCAGGGATTATTTTACCAACTCAGTATTTGTCACGTGCCGATATTCATCAATGTAAACAAACAATTTTTAATCGTTGACAACAAAATATGAAGTGGTTTTAAGCTTCGTGATTTTACCCACTAATACAATTCAGGATGTCACTGGTGCCTGGGTCCAGCAGTCAGAGGCAGGTACCAGTGACATCCTGGTACCTACCTGGGTCCAGCAGTCAGAGGCAGGTACCAGTGACATCCTGGTACCTACCTGGGTCCAGCAGTCAGAGGCAGGGGTGCAAGTCCATCCCTTTTGGTAGCAAATGATGACACAACAAAAACATATTTTTAAAATCAGGTATTTTGACAGCTGTTCTGGCTTTAAGAGTCTGTCTGCAGCACACCCGGTAAGAATTTCAATGACAGGCTCGAAACAATAAAATTGACCCAAAATAAGAGGGTTGTAGTAAAACTCTTTGTTTTACTGGGGTCCAGTTAAGACAATAAGATCCGTTCACACCTGGGTGTGACAAAAGGGCAGCTTTCATTATACTAGTTAAACAGATCTGAGTAATTAAATTAAAGGCGTGTTCATTAAAACAAGGCCACATCGTGTTTTGCGTGTTGTTTGGGTCTCGGAGGAGCCTGGTCTGTAGTTCAGGCTCCATGTCTGCCTGGTTCTTCACCTGTRGGGCTTCAGCCGGCGCTAGGACCCAGGGTGCGCGATTTTCATCTCCAGCTGCTGCAGACCGAAAACTGGCAAAAAGGGAAGATCGCGAGGACGAGCCAGAATAGCTCTCTGTATTCATTGTGCTTGAAGAAAAAAAAAAAGGGATCCCAGCCGTGGCCCCTCGCCGGAGAGAAGCCCGCGGCAGCAGCTTGTTGCTCGGTCTGCAGGCGTCCAGGCTGTCGGCGGCTCGGAGCGAGGTAAGCCGGAGCAGCACCGTGCCATGATCACTAATAACAAAGGCGTTACGGGCGGCCAGGGGGCATTAAAGGGGGCACTGCACGACGCTAACGAGGGCGACCGAAACTCCGACAAACTTTGACCTGGATATTTGGCGTTTTCCTCCCCCACACACTCCTCTCCCCCCGGCTCGTGTCTCGGAGGAGCCGCGGGGATGACTCGCTGTTCTCCCGCGGATCGTGTCACATGGACGGACCGCCAAGTTGGAGGTGACATCTGGGTGAAATCACCTCACCCAGACCCCGGCACAGTCCGGACCTTAATGCAGGCTGTTTTTGTTTATTTAAAACAACAACATTTAATATGATATGAAAGGCTCGGTTCTGAGCTAACATAGAGGATCAGAACCGTCACTGGTTCCGTGATCGGCTCCCATCATCCCTTCGTTGACTTTTATCACACTGGGAGATTGTTGTTGTTGTTTTGGACCATGACTCGGCTCCACCGTCCTCTCAGACCGGACCGGATCTGACCAGGTGAAACTCAGACGGGACGTCCTCGTGAGGCGAGGCGGCCTGAACTGGGTCCATAATCTCCGGTGTGATCCGCCAGAGAGCGGACCACTTTGAGAGGAACAAACACTTTCATTCGGGTTTAAGACCTCGTGTTTGAGGCTAAGATATCCGCTGTGGAGCCCGGTCCATCCGGTCAGTACCGGGAGAGCTCCTGGTCCTGTGCGGAGGTCCCCGGGTCCTCCTTTCCTCCCCCCCTCCTCTCCCCTCCCCTCCCCTCCCGGCTCAGACAATGCGATGTGTCAGCTGCCGACTTCGTGTTACTGCGCGGCGTTCCCCTTTTCACCGACCGTTCGGGGTTTTATTTCCCACTTTCTCCTTTCGGCCATTTGTCAACGAATCTGCCGAACCAAGGTTCCGGTCCAACCCCCTCCTTCCTCCCTCCGTCCCTCCGCGCAGCTCCAGCGGAGAAGTGGTTGGTGCTGGACGGGGTCGTCGTCCTGCTCAGCGCCAGCTCGGTGTCCGCCTCGTTTGCTGACAGTTACCAGAAGTCAGAAGAGTTTTGGACCGGATCCTGGTTCTGACAGCAGGCCCGCTCTGCTCCCAGGATTCAGGTAAAGACAAGTGGCCTAATTACAGCTCAGCAATGTCTGCTGCTTAAATACTTGAGCCAAAATGYGATTATGGAGTCAGGGAGCTGAGGCTGTTTATCTTCAGGGGCTTCTCTTCATTTTCTTTTTGACTGAAAACATTCAGACCAAACCTCATGCGTTATCCAAAAAGTTGTCCTCCTAAAAACAGCTTCTTGTTTTAAGAAAGAAAAAAAAATCAAACACGAGTGCATGGCTCCAGAACCTGCCGACCTGACAGTAACAGGAAATGTGATTTTGACACAAGGCTCTGCAAAGTGGGGGCTGAAGATGCACTGCAGAGGAAATGGCTTGTTTTTACTTTTATTCCTTAAATGTTTTTAGCYGCTCAGTGTCTCCACAGCGTCCCACGGCGTGGTCTCCATGCAGGGGACATTTCTGTTGGGATGTTTTAGGTTTTTATATAAAACAGTGGAACYAGTTAGTCTTCTTTCAGCTGTTCCCTCTTCAGGGGTCGCCTCAGCGAGTCACTCTGCTCACATGTCCTCTCTCACTGCAGCTACTGTCTACTCTTTGTCTTTGTCCTGGCAGCTGCCTCTCTAACGTCTACTGTCCCTCATGTGGACATTTCCAAACTATCAGTCTCTTACTTTACCTCACAGCTGTTCAGTTCTCTACCTCTGATCTGATCTTATCCATGGACATCATCAGCTCCGTCACCTACAGTTCTGTCGCTTTGTCAACGTCTTCAAATACAACATGGCTTTGCTTCCTCCCCAAATAACTCCTGAAACTTCTGTCCACATCCTGCCTGGACTCTTTCTCACCTTTTCACCACACTCCATGTTTTTCCTGGATAGTTAACCCCAAAAACTTATAGTYCTGCACCTTTGTGGTCACAAAGAAATTAAATACTTTAAATGAWACATTTTCTCTAGAGGCCACAGAATGTTCTGACATTATTTCAAAGGATGAGGTCTAAACTTTAGAGTCCCTTACAGCTGAGATCCTTTTAAATACTGAACAAGAGTTCAAGTTTTAAAAAAGTTAAAAAGTACATTCAAATATGAAAATACTAAGCTAGTTCTGGCATTAGAGTAGAATAGAACTGTCTTTGTTGTGATTGTGTAGAAAGGTCAACTCAACTAAAATCAGGACAGATAATGTCCGATACTTATATCGATTCATAATTTAATTTTGGTCAATATGTATTTTTATTTTGACAAAATCAAACTTTGATTCGTTAATTAAATAAATGTGTTTAACAGCGAGATGATGCTTTTATGTGTACATTTATTAAAAGTGGCCAAAATCAGCTGATTAATCGTTCTGCAGATAAATCATCTGTCCCTAAACACAGTGAATCTTATTTTGATGCATCGGCAACTGCTTTAAGAATTATAGTACAAAAATTAAATGATAAAAACATTGAAAGATTACTAAACAATGATGCATGTAAAAAAAAAAACTATTAAAAATAATAAGATAGCACTTCCACATACCAGCCTTTC